GCTGGTCTTCTACATAAGCTTCAGGGCTACAGTATTACAGGACGATTGTTTGATTTAATCTAATTATTCCTATGAAATCATTAAATGAAAATTGTTCTGAACAGACTCACTTCCAGATCTTTCACATGAATGTGGGTGTCTCTCAAGGCTCTATTCTGGGTCCTACCCTGTTTCTGATCTTCATCAATGATCTTCCTGATGTCATCATAGTTCCCAAGTAGGCATTTATGCAGATGTCACTACCATTTATTCCTGTCTCAATAGCTAATCCATCAAAGCTGACAAAGTTAACTCTTGAAAAGGACCTCCAATCAGTGGTTAACTGGGGCAGGAAATGGCTTGTAAATTTTAATGCCTCCAAAACTAAACTGCTCTCATTTAGCCACCATAGAGAAACTTCCCTGCTCACCATCGGCATCAGCCATGCTGATGGTGGGCAGGGAAGTGGCTGATGCTTGACTTCTGGAGAGCATCACACTTTGCCTTGTTGGCCTCATGTTTTCAAATGACTTGATGTAGAACTACATTGAATCAATAGCTGTATCTACTGTAAAGAAAGTTGGCTCATTGTGTCATGCCAGAGGGTTTTTCTCATCTGAGTTCATTTTGCACATTTACAAATCTACCATTTGGCTGTGCATATACTGTTGCTATATCTGGTTTGGTTCTCCTGCTATTCATCTCAAGGTACTTGACAAAATCCAAAGAAGGATCTGCAATGTAATCGATCTTGACTTGGTATCTCAACTTGAGTCAATTTCTCACAGATGTGATGTGGCTTCCCTCTGTCTTTTCTATAAATATGTCATGGCATCTGTTTTTTTTTCCCTGGTGACCTAACTGCAAAGAAAGTTGGTTCACTGTGTCATGCCAGATGGTTTTTCTCGTCTGAGTCCATCTTTTCCTGTTGAAATAGTTAAATGTAACTACCTCTTCTACTCCAACAATTTATTTTCTCACACTTCTCACGAGTATAGAACTCCCTTCTGTTTGCTTGCTTCCCTGAAAATTACACACCTCAAAAATTTAAATGCAATGTCAATCAATGTTTTCTGTCATCTTGAATACTATTCATCTTTTATCTTTCCTCAATCCCCCCTATACCCAGTCTTTTCTCTCACTTTCACTCTCTGTAACCTCCCCTGCACACTAGTGGCATTCCTGCCTTGCTTGGGGTGAAATTATTAAAAAAATGTTGCACCAAAGTGTATATGCAAAAGAAAAAACAAGATAAAATCAATTGTTAATACCCACTGACGAGTGGATGGAATGATTACTGGAGGGTCTGTCTACAAAACTCTGGAGTCAGGATGCTGAAAGTAACACCAATAAGCTAAGTGACAAACTTTATATTTGTATTAATTTTAATAAAATAATTATAACAATTATAATTATCATTAATTCGCTCATTGTAAACCAATGAGAATCAACTTCACTTTTCTTCTCTACCTACACAGACATACATGTGACATTCTCACTATTGGACAGGCTGTCAACACATGCATCAAAAAAATTTCAGCTCCTTTTCCTTTTTCAGGCCCTAATAGTAACATTATTTTCTTAGCACTCAACAAAAATTTGAGGTAAGAAAACTCCAGACACTTCTTTTATTTTCCAATAGAATTAGACACTCATTAACACATCTATAAAAAAAAAACTGTATATACTTTACTTATTGTTTATCTTATTGTGTCAAATTCCAATCTATATTTGATCTACATTTGACTCCAAACTCACAATTTTACTCTCTCTCTCTCTCATGTCTCCAACTCTAATAATTAAATAAATAAGAGACTCATTTTGTTGTTTTCATGTCTTGTTGTTTCTCATTTTTATGAGTATTTTTGTATCTATAAATGTAAAGTGGGGTTTATAATTATTTACTGGGATATAACTACCTTACAATCTCCTATATAAACCACATAACAAATGATGTAGTGTGAGGCAACATCAAACAACATTGAAAAACCTCATGATCACATCATAAGAGGCAACAATTGTTCCACTGTCATCCTACAAGTTATAAACTAAGGCAAAAGAAGGAAAAATAGGCTAACAACAGTGGCCTAAGAAAAGTTTTTAGCCAGGAGAAATAAACTACATTCAATTTCAAAATTTAATTACATAATCTCAACTCAATATAAATAAACAGTATTTGGAACTAGTATGGAGTAGATCCCCCATTTGCTAGTTTCAGTGCTTGTATTTGATTGTTCATGAATTTCATCAAATTATCAACAATTGTCTGATCTATATTTTGCCACTCCTTTAGCAATGTTTCTTTAAGGGTTGCCACTGACGTGATTTTGGTTGCTCACTCTTGAAGTTTTCAGTCAAGGCGCTACCAAACGTGCTCTGTTGGATTCATGTCAGGACTTTGGGCTACACATGACAGTGAATAATTCCTTGCAATTCCTTCCAGGCCTTTGTTACTTTGCTTGGATGACATGGCGCTCTATCTTCTTGAAAATGTAGACATTCTTGTCAATGAGATTGGTTTCAAATAGTGGGTGTAGTCCTTTCTTTAATATTTGACAGTATTTTGGACCATTCAACCGCTTGTCAACAAGAATCAGCTCAGATTTCCCTCCAAACCAAGACAACACCCCACACCATTACTTCAATTCCTCCATGTTTCATGGTAACCTGCAGATATCCAGTGTTCCAAGTCTCATTCTGATTTCTAAAAATATAAACTTGTCTCAAATTCAAATATTGGCAGAATTTACTTTCCTCTGACCAAATTACAGACTGCTAAAATTAATAATCTTTGTTCTTAAATTCTCTCGTCATGTCCATACTCCTGTTCCTGTTAACCTCTGAAATCAAGGGCTTCTTTCTTTGATAGCCTAGCTCTTTCAGAGTCTTTCTCAATGCCTATGGTGTCATTTCCATGCTGTTAGCACCATCTTTGACGTTCTGATGATGGTTTCTGATGACTTCCCTCTTCAGCACCCCTTTCGTTCCCTCAGACACAATACTTGGTCTTCCTGAATGTTGTTCCACATGACAATGGCCTTCTTCATTAAATTTCTTGACAATATTATTAACCGTTTGATGATTAACCTGGAAAAACCTAGCAATTTCTCTATCTGACTTGCCACACTGATGACATCCTATTATTTGCCCTCATTGAAATTCACCAATTTCCTTACTTCCGCAAACTTTCATTGCAAAATATAAGTCAACTATTTTTTATAGATGAGAGTAGCTTGATACTAACATGGTATTATCCAAAAAAAAAGAAGAGATGTTATTACACAAGCCAAAATTGCTGTGATCAAGGGTGGCTAAAAATTTATCATAGCCCACTGAACTTACAGATTCCTAATTCTCTGTTAAACTAAGTGGTATCTATATAATTCCCATAAATATTCATTTCCTTTCAGTAGCTGTCTCAAAACTAAGAACCATCTTGAAAGACAAGAATATCTGACTGAAATCAAAGCATCAATTTTTCTGTACACATGCAAATCTTGGACATTAACAGTAGAATTACACTGAAGAATACAAGCCTTGGAAATTAGAAACTACAAAACCATCCTAGGCATCTCCTATATAAACTGCATCACAAATGATGTAGTGTGTAACATCATCAGACAAGAAAGAGTCCCATTGGAAGACCTCATAACACATTCTGGTTCAAAGTTTCTTGCTTCATTTACAGATGTGAATTTTTAACAATAACAAAAATACACTTGAAAAATTAAATTTTCTGTTCAGGTTTTGACAATTTTGCACTGTGAGATTAAAAAAAAAGTAAAAGTTACAAATAAAAGTAGAGTTTTTACAAACATTTATTAAGATATCTAAACATTTCTGGGGCTGGAGTGGAGTGAAAAAAATAAAATACAAATTAAACATAATGATTAAACATAAATGGGTGAAATAACCTCAGATTTTAAAATGCTTTATAAGAAACATCATTTAAAGGATAAGACAAAGCATTTGTCATTAGTGCCATTGTCCATTTTTTTAAATTTCTTTGATAGCTGAGTTTGAATTCCAGTCAGGTTCATTACAATCACTTACATGCAAATACACTTGGGAAAGGTATGAATCCATCTATACTCCCCCAGCTACAGGTTGAATAGCAGGACAGACTGGGTCCTATAGCCTTAGCCACCAGTCTATCACAGAAAGAAATGGCAACTTACTGCAAGAAAATCTTCTGCCTAGTCAGTCATGAATCGTAAGAGATATAAACACCCTAGTGTGTATCACGGGATGGCACTTAACTGACTGATTATAGGAAAAGTGAGGACCAAACACCTACTGGTCAATGGGGATTGGTGCAGTCCAGACTTGAAGAAAATGTGATGTTACATATGAGAGAATTAGTCTTGTATTTTCATTTGTGATGTACAATAACATATAGAACTACTGGAATGTAAACTCTTTTTAAGTCAATAGAAATGGGAGTGCTTTTGTACAGATGTATGTATATATATATATATATATTTTGTACAGTAATGGAAATTACAGTTCAAGCAAGACCTGTGCTTGTATATGTATTTTTACCTTCTTTATGATTGTCTGATTTGACAGTTGTCCTTACATAATTACAGCAAAACCAGCATCTATATTGAAAATGAATATTATTTTCTAACCAGACCTGTAAGATGGTGAAAATGTCAGCAGTTCAGTTTGCACTGTAAAAAAAAATGTACAAAAATTGTTTCCTGTGAAGTTGACAGAAATGTTGATAATTTTAAAACCTGCCTCATGTAAATGATAATTTACAATAAAACTGATAAATTTCAGCAAGCCAAATTTATAGGTGTAATCAAACTAGATACAAATTTTCAAAATTATTTTAAAATTTCTACAAATACTGAATTTAAAAAAATAGTAGAAAAATATCTCAAAAGAATTTTGTTTTTCCTTTAATGTATTTGCATAAATGCAAGGATTTTTAATGAACAGTTGTCATTAAACACTGATTTGATTTGATTGATTGTGCATATGAAGAGAATGAAAGAGAAAAATAATCAACAACATTAACACTGCACAACAAAATAACTTCGTTCTGTGTTTTGCTTCTGTCGCCTTGACCTTCTGTTGAATTTCTGGTTGGAGAGAAGTCCTGTGGTCTCTGAGTTTGTCAGATTGTAAGCTGAAAATTAAATGAATTGAAGAAGTCAGAACAAAACAAGCAGAAAAGAAAATATGATTTTTATTAGATTTCTTTTTTTTACCATATTGGATTCTATTTCAAACAGTCTTTTATAAGGTTATTAGTTACATGTATAAAATGAGTATTTGTGTATTTATAATCACTGGCAATAGAACTCAGTGAAGAAAATATTGAATAAATTTATAACAGACATCATTATAAAGATATTCTTATCTGTTTCAGTTTCTTGAGATTTTATTTAATATTTAAAAGAGGAAAAATGGTCATCAGAGTTATTTTTAGAATTGATTTTGACTTTTTTAAATGTAAATAAAAAAAATAATCAAGAAGCAAATATAAAAGTAAAATCTCTTATAATCATTGTATTTACAAGGATGTATTGAACAAACATCTGATAATTTTTTGGTACCACTTCTTTGTCAAGCTGATAACTTGTCAGCACTGTGTTTTTATATATATATATATATATATATATATATATATATATGTGTGTGTGTGTGCAAGTATTTTTATACAAAAATAAACAAAGTGGAGCAAGAGCACCACCAAAAGACTGTCCAAAAAAACTAAGACACCTGAATTCATGCAAACTAACATTACCTTTTGGTTCACAATTATTGAATCTCAATTCTATCTGAGAAACGTAGCTTCACAAATCACCAAATTTTATAATGTCTTTACCTCCAGAAATAGTGGTGAAAATACCTAGCAACATTCCTCGATACACACAACTAGGATGAGTTAAAAAAGACTTTAAGTAAAACACATGAACAAACTGCCAGAACTGCTAGATAAATTAATGCCCACCTCCATTATTACAGGTCAACCATCAATTTAGCTTCAGAAAATGTTGTTGATTGCAAAAAGATTGGAGATACAGTGACATAGTGTTACACAAATTTTTACAAGCATTACCAGCATTTTTAGCAACACAAAAAGATTTATACCAGACCAGGCTGGACTCTTTGGCAGATTAATTAATGACTTTAACGGGTAACCAAATTCAGATGAAAAAAGTGCCTACTATAACCTCAGGAATACCTCACAATCTCAGAAAAAGGGAAAAATATAAAAAATGTGTTGAGCAACAAAAACACTGGTGCAAATGGCTTAATAAAAAAGGGGACTTGATACAACAGCAAGGTTTGTGTTCATCTTTACCATCACCAAACGAAGAGATACTAGTGTCAGCTTATCCATCATTCAACATAGCTATGTCAACAGTTTATCAACAAAATCAACATCAATTTCTCTCACCATGGCTACAGGCTCTGATATATGCTGCTATGGGCAAATTAAAGCCGAGATAAGCCTACTGACCCTTCTATGATCTTTTCAGTCAGCATTTGTAGTAGTGGACATTCAATACTCCATGAATTGACTTCCTAAACAATTTTGGTTTAATGAGAGATTGCCAACAGAGAATGATCATCAATCCCACAACATCTTGTTCAAAGAAACTAAGAACATTCAATGACTATCAACTTAGTCATAAATAATATGCTTGATTTCATTAAAGGCTTTATGAAAAATATATCCTAACATTATATCCCCACATACCAACCCAGCAAGCACATATGCAGGAGTATACCATAGAATTGATACAGGCAGTCATGATCCTACTTTTGAGAAGGCAAGACATTTATCAGAAGAGAAAGCTGAAGCAGTAAAGAGGAAATTTTCAAAATTGCAAAACAATGGTGTCATTACACCTTCTGACACTTAAAAAGCCTCCTACACTTAAAAAAGCCAGTTGGCAACTTCAGATACTGCAGTGATTACCGTGCATTAAACACCATTACAAAATGCGATAAATGCCCAACCCTGAACATTAATTCAGCTGATACACTTTTCAAAGATACATGGACAAGAATTTTCAACATGTTGACTATGTATTTACTTACATTGACAATATTCTTATTTTCAGCAATGATTCTTCAGCACACATAAAAGACATTGAAACTGTTATAAAAATCCAACAGGATAATAATCTAAAAATTTCAATTGAATTTGATGCAACTTCAGTTAATTTTTGGGGTTATAACATTAGCTCTGGTGGTATTAGACCAACACAAAATAATGTTAGTGCATTACAGAATTTTCCCCCTCCTAAGGACAGTAAGAATCTTCATTTCTTAGACATGGTAAATTTTTATAGAAAATGAATCCCAAACTTTACAGACACAGTCATGCCATTAACAGAAAAAATATGTATATGCAGTAATACTAAGTTTACATTAAATGACTTGGAATTGCAATCATTTAATGATATTAAAAGCAGAATCAGTGAATTTCCCTCTTTACCTCACCAACGGTCTGACTGTACTGACTATCAGTTGATTACTGATAACAGTAATTATGCAACTGGTGCAGCCCTACATCAAATAGTAGAAGGAGCACCAATTTCATTAGGGTTCTTTTCTAAAAAGTTAACTCAAACTCAAACAAAAGGCATTCAACTTTTAATAACAAAGTTTTTGCAGCATATTCAGCTACATTATATTTTTAAAATTGTCAAAGGAAAATAAGTTTTATTGTTAATTGACCATAAGACTTTGTGCAGTGCATTCCATAGTCTAAGTCATAGACAGCAGTGGCAGTTAGCAATTCTCACAGAATATATACCAGATATAGGTCACATAAAGGGAGATGAAAACATTATAGCTGATCACTTGTCTAATGTACCCTAGCAGTTATGGTAGATCTGTGTGACTTTCCAGCTATAGCTGCTGCACAACTTAAGGACCCTGAGTTACAAAAATTTCCAGACTTAAAAAAAAAATACAATTTTAGTACTGTGATAATGCTATCAGTATTCCCAGATCATTACATAATTATAATTATGTGAATTATGGTGAATTATAAAAATCTATTTTCAATAGTATTCATGCAATATCACACCCAGGAATTAAAACTTTGTGTAAACTTATCAAAACAAGATTTTTTGACCTTATATGGACAAGAAAATAAAAGAAATGTATAACAAATTGCCAGAAAAGCAAAATTCAAAGACATACTAAATCTTCTATTCAGCCTATTGAATTGCTTACTATTTGTTTTAATACAGTTCACTTAGATATAATTGGTCCACTCCCTGTTACTAGGAGACATTAGAAACATACAATACTCCTAACAAATATGTGTTAACCTGTATTGACTGCACAAGTAAGTGGATCAAAGCAGAACCATTAGCAGATATAACAGCATGATCTGTGGCCAGTGCATTCATTCTCACGTGGATCACACAAGATTGGCACTTAGTTTGGGAGTGAATTGTTTTCAGAAATAGACTCAACAGTTGACTTCTATAGATTGTGCATGACTAGTTAGCATCCACAAACTAATGGAATGATCAAACATGCACATATAACAATTAAGACAGCATTAATAACTAGAAAGGAATCATGGCTGGATGACATTAAAAAAATATTAATGGGTATCTGTGCCGCACCTAATTCTTCCAATACTTCACTCTTCTTGAACATACATAATGATTCCTCAGTTACTAGTAGATGATACTAATGAAAACATAGATAATTTGCTAAGGAGTTAAGACTTACACTCCTTACATTCAACAAAGATTATAGTTTTGTAAATAATTCATGTCACTACATTCCTGATAAGCTTAAGACATGTAAAAGTGTATGGCTAAGAGCAGACAGAGTTCACAAGCCTTCGGAAGCTCCTTACACGGGTCCCCTCCAAGTGTTGTGTAGAAATGACAAATATGTTGTAATTAAAATGAACAATGAAATACAGTCAATGGTATAGATAGGTTAAAACCACACATTGAACCTAAAAGTGATAAGCAAGTAGTAACTGAAAAGCAACCTCATAGTGATGATATAATAAATGATACAGAAAACAGACATAAATAGTAAGCCTAGTCATACGAAACAGGTAGAAGTTTCTTGGAAAAGAGACAACCAATATCACTACTACTAGACTCCACTACTAACTGGGGAGGTTTCTAGCGAGAGACAAAAAGTTATCTCCCCTTGACCCAAATAAAACTAACAGCAAAAATTAATTATAAATATCCACGAGAATAGAAAACAGTCAAGAGACCTGACAAGACGTGGCATAGAAAATGGAATCAGTGAGTTGAGTTCACTTCACCCTAATGCCCTTGAGAAAGACTGAAATCCATCTCTTTTCCTCCATCAGATATGAATTAAATAGCAGGGTAGACTAGGCAATCAGTTAGTCTAGGGGGAACCACTTCCAAGTAGTTATGGCAATTCACAGATAATAAAAGAAAAAGGAATTAGTGGAAAGCCATAATTACCTAAAGGGACATAGCCTTTAGAAAAAAAAAGGAAGTGAATGGTATATATAGAGCAATGGAAATTTACAGATCTGTTACTAATTAGAAATGAAAAACACTTCAAAAATTAAATGTAATTGATGTAGCTAGTATATGAAAGAAAAGATAGTCAACTGTTAAACGTGATGAAATTGAGGACAAATTTTGAACTCAATTCTTCAAACTGGTGTAGATTTTCATGAAATAGTTTTACTATAAAGTCATTATATGTATAATGTAAAAACGCTGTTTAAAAATGCATTGAAAATCTAACAGAAAGTCACAGTAGTTAAGTGTTAAGAATTATTTTAAAATATTTCAATGAAGAAAGTTTTAACACTAATATCAAGATATTAGAATATTTCTTTAAGAACCATTTTTAAATACCATCTAATATTTCTGTATTTATATAAAATTTAAGGAAAATATAACAATATAAGAAGTGTGTACTGAAAAGTTCTTGGCCTTACCCCATTGTAAAAATGTGATCAAATTTCAGCATCACCCACCACCTCCAGACATGCAAAGTCAGTTTTTTTTTCAGAATCTTGAGATGACCATAATTCCAAAGGATTTTTGAAAGATATTGAGCTGTTAAAGTTCTTTTAAAGAAAATAAAAATAACTTAAATCCCTTAAAAGGAAATACTACTGTTTTACTTAAATAGTTAATC